CCGCCGCACCGCGCCGCGGCCGGGGCCCTCCGGAGGCCGAGGATGGCCGTGGGCGTGGCGGACCGGGACGAGCTCTGGGAGGTTCAGTGTCAGTGTATATATTGTAGAGACTAACCATGTGCACAATAACTCTCACTTTAGCTAAGCCAGGGGAGGCGATTCCGGGGCCGTACAGCAGCTTGATGGTGCTTCGCCGGCGTGCGTCCCGGAGCGGTGCCGGACGGGCGGTCCGGGGGAGAAAACTCAGGACAACGCCGACACCGCTCTGATTCGACTTTTTACTTCAAACAAAGACAGTCGCACGCCCCGCAGCGCGGCGCGTGCGACTGTCAGGCTCTGGGCCGGCGCGGGGCCCCCCGGAGGCACCGTGCGCCGCGCCGCAGTGCGGAAACGGGGCTCCGGCTCTATGAGTCTCTATGAGCACCGACTTCCCGAATGATCACGGTTGATCAGAGGGCAGATTTGGAGAGATCTCGAGGAGTACATACAGATAGACCCTCCAACCATCAGAAAACTCCGACCTGATCGGTCGTACTGACCGCCGACAGATCACTCCAGACAGCAGACAGGCCGACGTCTGCACGCGGCCGGCCGGGCGAGAGGCTTGACACGATCCGACCCTGCGACCCTGACGCTGCTGCTCTAGCTATCAGCCATGCACTGCTGACTGCTGCCACAATGTGCGACCTGTGCTGGCCCACTTGGCGGCCTTCCCGGTCAGTGGTGAGGCGCAGTTTGCAGAGCTGTCGATGGCGCGATGCCGCACTGGTCCCACATTGGTGACACGATACCACCAAGTTTGCCGGTCCAAGAGAGAGGCACCGGCGCTGTCCTGAGAAGGTGCATGGTCCCTCTTGACTGCCCATGCGCGCGAGGCTGTGTAGGCATAGCCTCGAGAGTGCCAGCAGCCAATCCGAGGTGACGCGCATTGCGCCAGAAGCGTGCACACGATGGAAGGACACCTTCCTACTGGCCGTACGATCAGGTCGTCACTGAATGCTTGATACTAAGGCCGCGAGCTATGCAGGTGATCAATTGTGCATCATGGCACGGTCAGCTGCGCCGACAGGCTGTCGCAAGGCGTGATAGCATGGCCGCAAGTACGCCGAATTCCCATGAAAACAAGTAAAAAACCGCGAAAAAAGAAAAACAATCCGAAAAAATCGGCGCCTGCGGCGGGCCATGGGACCCCATCTCCCCCCCGCATGGACACCCTCTGGGGGCCCCGCGCCGGCCCAGAGCTGTCAGGAGCGGATCCGTCAGTTAGTTGTGTTCACGCCGGGATCGTGTCCTGAGTAACCTGCCCAGACTTTAGGCAGAGTCGACGACAAAGAACTCAGAAACGGCGAGAGGATTTCAGAGGATCATTCAGGCACCGACTCAAGTGCTGCTTGGCGCAGTTCGCCCGGGCTGCCACGGACGCTCCGCGAGCCGGAGCCCGCCTTCTTCTTCTTCTTCGCGCCGGCGGCGGCGGCGGGCTTGGCCTGCGGCTCGAGGTTAACCTGGAAGGCCTCACCGCACTTGCAGCGCACCGTGCTCAGCCGGCCCGGCCGCAGCATGTCCAAAATGTCGGTACCGCACGAAGGGCAGCGGAACTTGCAATGCTCCAGCGCTGGACCTGACACGACGGCACCCCCGACGACGCCGTCCGCCGTGCCCTCAGCCGCGCCGCCGCCGGTTTCGTCGCCGCCACGCAGCAACGAGCGAATCTCCGTGAGCTGCACGCGAGCATGCGGGCGAAGGCAGCAGAGCTTCGCGCGGCAGTAGACGATGAAGAAGGGCACATACAAGAGCGTCTGCACGGCGCCCGACGTCCACGCCTGCGGCTGCCAGTAGTAGGGCTCGCGACGGTAGCGCTGCGCCCAGTTGCCCAGATAGAAGGCGCGGTACAGGGCCAGCAGAAAAATGTAGTGAGAGACCGCCGAGCGGGAGGAGCCCTCGCGCACAATGAGCACCAGCTGCGGCACCGCC